TATCCATCATTTCTTTTTTCCTTTTCTAATGAATTGGATAGAAAGGAACAAGTGACCATTACAAAATTAAATTCCACTTTCCATTTGAAATGAATCATTTGGACAAGAGGCAGAAATGCAAAGGCCGTGACCCAATTGACATGCCCACCTCTTTTTCGTGCGAACCCAACTCCAACGTTGCCGAAATCAGTTGTGAGTGCGGTTTTGGTCACCGAAAGATCGTGCATTCTCAATTTTACATAGGAAATGAAAATCCAAATCAAGAAACCTTTGATGACTTGATTGTTGATGCTCCACTTGGGACAAAGTTGTGGATTGGATTTTGAAGTAATCTATAATTTTTGAAAAATTATTGTTTTCTAATGAAATTGCCACTTCTTGTGCTGGTAGCCGGTTGATGTTCTTAGTTTTGCAATTTATATTGTTTTAGACGGCATAATCATAATCATCAAATAAAGGGTTAGTTTTGTAAGCACAATTTGACCTACACAATAACTTTTCAATACTATACGATAAAGTATAGTCTATATTGTAATTATTTTAATTATTAATACAATTATACTATATATATAAAAGAAATTGATAATGGATGTGGTTATGGCCACAACAATTAATTGGTTTGACACATATGTTAATATCTAGTCGATTTAATCATTAAAATATAATAAAAAGTGATTCAACTAATTCTCATATTATATATGATTACATCTTTTAAATTCTTCTATTTTTAATATATTTTAGACCAAAATATAATGATTTTTCAATAAATATATTAGAAGTGTGTTAAATCAAAGGATGTCAACCTCAACGTTTTGTGCACTTTTTTATTTTACTCTCTTTGTTGTTTAATAAGATACCTTTTTTGATTTTATATTCATCTTAAAAATTTCGTGATTTTTTACGTTATTATTTATAAATTTCTTAATTCTTACTTTAATCTAGTAATGGATACTATTACTTTTTAACTACGATGTTATTGTAATTTCATAATTATATTTTTTATAACTTGATATTATAATTTTTTACCTAGCAAATCTAATATATTTAAAATAATATTAAAAATCAATTAATCTGATTAAATAACACTGATCCAATTTATGTTGGATTAATTTAGTTAAAATATAAAGATAAATTGAATTAATCTGCAAATTTTACTCACAAATTAAATTAATTTAATTTTAAAATATTAAAATTCAATAAAATTCACACCACAAACAAACCAACACGGCAACACCCTTCCGTACAATTAAGGAAAACGAAACACAACACAAAATGCTGACGCTAACTTCTCTCGCAATGCTGACGTTAAATCATCAACATCTCTGATCTCACACTGCATGGTTGTTGAGGTTAAGATCACCCCCAAAATATTATAAATGTTTGATTTAATTGTTAGGAATGTTTGATGATTATAGATATTAGTTGATAGGTAAAACAATTAAGGGATTTTTTAATTTGTATTTTAAAGATATGGATTAACTTTTATTAATTATAATATTTATAATTAATTTTACATAAATTTTTATATCAAATTTAATAATTATAAAATATAAAATATAAAATTAAAATATAATATAATATTTATATTCAAAATTTGTCAAGATAAATAAATCTAGTATGAAATTTTGTATAAAATTAATTAATCATTATTTTAAAAATACATATTAAACAAACCAAACAATTAATATTCATTATTTCACATGTTGAAATTAGTTTATAAGTTAACATTTTAAAATACTCTAATTAGTTATAAATAGGTACAACAGTCAAACCAATTATTACTTTTACATTTTTTGAAAAAAATAAAAACTAATCTTAATAAAGTTGAAATTGTGGAATTAATTGACATACTAAGTTTTGTTAGTGATGTAGGTACACACCAACTTCCGCAGTTCACACTGCCCTCTAAACATTACTCTCTGAAGCAGTAGAGTAATAGATCACATATGTTAACAAAGGTGATGAAGGGCATCTGTGAGCAACTGAGCATTATAAAAGGCGGCTGGGAGAGTGCGTCCAAACCACAAAATTTAGTGTGAAGTGAAACTTTAAATTAGAGCTCAGTCATGGGAGTAGTTTTAAGCTATTCCCTTCCTCTCCTTTTCTTAACTCTGTGTGCCACCGCAAACCTTCTCATTCCTGCAGTTAACGGAGAAGTAGATTGCATGAAATCTAAAGTAGATTGCACGAAATCTAAAGTACCTTGCCCGAAATCTAAAAAGTCCACCCTCTTGATCGTTTTCGGCGACTCATTCTTTGATGTTGGCTACGGTAGTAATGAACTTTGTCTTCCATCTAGTTTCCAACCATATGGGAAATCACTTGACCCGGCGGCTCCCACTGGAAGATTCTCGGATGGTCTTGTAGTACCTGATTATATTGGTAAGATCCTTATGTAGTGTTTTCTAATTAGACTTTTTTTAGAGGATATATATCTCCAAAATCATCATATTTTAATTAATATTTTTTAAAACTAATTAATTAACAAGGCCCGATATATCAAAGGAAAATCCGTGAACTTATTCTTCAAAAACTTGTCTATAATTTGCCAAGACATCGTTTTAGAGAATATAATCTCCAAAATCATCATATTTTAATTAATATTTTTTTAAAACTAATTAATTAACAATGCCCGATATATCAAA